TAGAGATTCATTTATTATCAAGTTCCTACTTTGTTGCCCAGACAATAGTCTTTCTTATTTACCTGAAGGGCCAGAATAGTACTTAAGACATGTTTCACTAAATCCTGACTTCGCAAATCAGTTATGACAAGATCAAGATCTTTGAACATGCCATTTCATTTCTTTTGCATAAAAAAGCATTTGCATAAAAATATTTTATTTTCTATGTTCAAAGAAGTTAAAAAGGCAACTGGCAAACCACAAATAAATGGTTGATGGAAAGCAGGTGAATCATTTTCAGAAATCAATTTAGTAACTTGTAATAAAGCTAATGTTTTCTTAGGTTTTTCTAGGCACCAGGAAGCTATTAGTGTAATTATAATAATTACTTTCATAAGGCTTCAATGAGGTATGGAGCTTTAACACCTCCATTATTACTGTTTTGAAAGAACAGTCTGTTTGAAGTTGCTTTGAATATCTCTTCCACTTTCTACAGCCTAGATATTGAAAACAAAACATGCTGCCTTGGGAATTCAGTCTAATTTTTAAAATTAAAGATTATATTAATGCCATTTTATTTTTATTATGTATTTATTATTATGGTTAAGTTTTATGAACACAATTAATGTTATAATGTGCTCAGTGTGAGCCTCAGTACATTTAATACCCACTTTGCTTGCTTTTTCACACCTCCCTCAGGTCTTTACTCAAATGTCTTGTCAGTGAAACCTCCTTGGAAACTTTATCTAAAACTGTAGGTTCCACCCTCCTCTCCTCCAAACGGCCTGACTCTACCTGGGGCTCCTTTCTCTGATGTACTATTTCTTCTCAAAACTTATCACTACACACCATGCTACATTTATTACATATTTACTCTGTTGATTGCTTGTGTTCACTACTATACTATAAGGTCCATTAAGGGACTTTTAACTTATCTTTCTACTGCTGAATCCCATGGCACCAGACCTAGCAGGGTAGGTCCTCAATAGTTACCGAATAAAAGGACAGACACCCAACAAACCTGGATTTATATGCTTAAAATTTTTTAAATACTCTCAGCCATTTCTCAGTCCTCTTTCCCTCAATAAGTATCTCTTATATTACAAATTAAGTTAGGAGATTCAGTGGCACAGGGCAAAAGGATAATGAAATGGGTCCATGCATAAGTTTCTTAAATATATTAATGTGAAGAAGTAGCCAGCAACTTACTCATTTTTAAAATTTTTTAAAAGACAACTCACTGTTTAAAGCAAGAATATTAACAACGTATTGTGGAGTTTATGACAATGTAGAAGTGAGATTCATGACAACAATAGCACAAAGGACTACACAGGGGAAACATAAGCATTCTATTTTAAAAACCTTACCAGTCATATTATTTGAAGGCAGATAGTGTTAAATGG